GAGAGAGAGAGAGAGAGAGAGAGAGAGAGAGAGAGAGAGAGAGAGAGAGAGAGAGATTATACATTTAGACCTCGTCGGATATCTGATTGATAAGTTGTTTTTGTTTTGCATTTGTGCGGGCGTAGCCACGCTGGCCTGATTTGCTTCACTGGCGATTATGATGGAGTTGTACTTGCGCTGGCTGTCCTGTCGTGTGCAGAAAGTCATTTGCGGCTGTGATTGTATATGATCATGTCAGACTCTGGATTGCTTCAAGTGGTAGCAGTCGGGATTGGGGCATTTGCTCTGGGTTGCTACTTGGGTCTGACATGGCGAAGTAGGCATCCAGAAAAGGGCCTGGCTGTGGATCTGCGTTCTTCTGGGGGGGCAATGCCAGAGCTCAGTGCTCTGGACGATGGGATGGGTGAGGCTGAGAATATCATTGACTCGAGAGACTTGGCTGCCCTCGACAATACCGAGACGCTGGCTATGTTCAATGGAGAGTTTAAGCTAGTTCTGGTTGTGCGAATGGACTTGAAGATGGGAAAAGGCAAGATCGCTGCTCAGTGCAGTCATGCCACCCTTGGTATCTATAAGAAACTGCAGAGAAAGGCACCAACAGCGTTGAGGAAGTGGGAGTACAGTGGACAGCGAAAAGTGGTTCTAAAAATAGACACAGAGGATGACATGATGGCGCTGGTAAAGAAGGCCAAGGACGCAGGAGTGCCAACTCATATCACGATTGATGCAGGTCGCACTCAGATTGCTCCTGACTCACGGACAGTAATGGCTGTTGGGCCGGCTCCTGACCACGTACTCGACGATATAACTGGACACTTGAAGCTCCTGTGAACTCTTTTTTCAAGATCCAAGGCTATATATATAAAAAAAAAAAAAAATTGATCCAAGGCTATTATACTGTTCTTGACCCTTTTCAAGATCCAAGTGTATGCTGTTTTTTTGATTCCAAGGGTATCGTTGGGGCTCGCTCCAGTACTCCTTCCCAAATGTGCAAAATGAGAATGAATCTCCCGCTAGAAAATGGGAAGATGCGCCGCCATATGCTTTTTGTCTTTTGTGCATGTGGAGAGTAGTGGAGCGAGGCCCATTGTATACTTCCCAGATCCAAGGGTACGCCTTTTTTTTTTCTTGAGGCCCGGGGGGGGGACACGGGCGGGGGGGGGGGGGGGGGGGGGGGGGAGAGGGGGGGGGGGGGCGGAAAGAGGGGGAAGGTAGGTAGGGGGAGGTGTGTAGGGTGAAGGTCGGGAGGGGGGGGGGGGGGGGAGGGGGGGCTGTTTGAGCAAGGTAGGTGAGCGTAGATAAGATCGGCAAATTGGCCTGGCCTCTCAAGGGTTGTTTGAATGGGTCATATTTTTTTCCCGACTGGCTTGGTGCATGGCTAATCATGTGGAGGGAGAGGAATTACAACTGTGTCCGCCGGAACGAAGTGAAAGGAGCTGGCTTGGGTCATCTGTCAGGGAGACTTTTTTTTTTTTTTTTTTTTTTTTTTGGCGTCAGGGACACATTGCTATGCCTCTGATGAAAGTTTTGCAATGACATCGTACGTCTGCTTGGTATGGTGTATCATTTTTTTATTTTTTATTTTTTTTTAATAGCCTTTTGATTTTTGGCTGCTGCAGTCAAGCTCTTTTGTCTTCCTTGCTCTTTTTTTTTTTTTTTTTTTTTTTTTTGTTCCCTTGCTCTTCTTGGTCGCCGTATTGCCACGTTTGCGGTGCTCATAGCTCTTGTCTCCCCACATGCTGCCCTCTTCCCCTCTGCTCACAATTGCTATTGTGCCTGAACGTGCATGGAAAGCATGGAGTAGGGACCACCACGGAGCCACGGAGGAACAGATAGATGCATCCAACTCGAACGCATGGAGTGTTCAAAACGTAAGTCAGGAGAGAAATGGCCTTTGAGGAAGGAATCAATGAGGCGTCCTGTGGTGGTGGTTTAACCATCTTGCAATGACCCGCACAAATCGCTGTCTGAGATTCGTGCAGTTTGAGAGAAATTGCTGTCCTTTTTTTTTTTTTTTTTTTTTTTTGGAAGAAACAGATCCCTCTAGTGCTAGCGATGCTGATGAGAGCAGACACCGCTAGCACCTGGGGATAGGCTCCATCTATTGGTGGGGACTATCCTTTTGATCTGTGCTTTCTGAGAATTCCAAGTCCCGAGTCGGTTCTGCTGCGATTTGCTGTGTTTTGTTTTCTGAGTGTCTATGTGATCCAGCCAGCGCACAAACGTCCATGTGCCTGCCTGAGCACAAGTTTGGAGTCCGGGTTTATGTCCGTGTGCTTACTCTGTTGGCTGCGTGTGTGGAGTCTGAGTTTATGTCCGTGTGCTTACTCTGTTGGCTGCGTGTGTGGCTGTGCCTCTAATAGGGACGAGGTAGCAATAGGGAGACAGCCAGGGGCAGGACTGGAAGTCAGCGGTAGAACATATTGGGGGTAGTGTAGCGCCCAGGGACGAAGTAGAATTTGACAGGAGCCCGTTAGGGATGTTTTAGCAATCGGGTTGGGCCTGGAAGGGTCCGGTAGCTTACCTGCAGGTAATAATGGTCCAGGATCAGAATGTAAGCCGGTAAGTTGTCTAGGTTCAGGACCTGTAGGTAGATTTCAGTCTGCAGATGATGTTCCTACCAAAAGGAGGGAACGCCTGGTAGGCGTAGTGCACCCAAGTGAGTGCGGGTAGAGGCTGGAAGTGCCCGAAAAAAGAGGTACTGAAGGCAACATAGATCATTTGATGCAGTGAGCAGTCAGTCATGCTGCTGCTCGGCGAAGAGGACGAAGGTGGAGCTGCAGGGTAATGCAGAAGGCCTCCATGGTTATGGAGGTGTAGTAGGGAGAGGTAGTAGTCCTAGCCTATGGAGGTGAGAGAGGACCTCTAGCTTGGCTATGGAGGACTACTACAGGTTGAAGGAAGGAAGGAGGGAACTGGCAAGGAGAGTTGCCTTTGACTATGGTGGGCTTGCATCTTCATCTCCAAGGCTGGCGCTGCATCAGGAAGGTCCCTGAAGGGGATACGGGCGGGCTATCCAATTCATCCGGATATGTAGGCGTGGCGGTAGATGCTGGTGTCGGCATTTGTGTTGTCCTTTGACTCATTTCCAATGAGAGCGTGGATGTTCCACGATAGCTGGATGCCATACCAAGTCAAAGGACGCCTCCTTATGAGGTTGGCAGTTAGGGGGAGTAATCGGGCACTGATTCTGGCCCTTTCTGAGTCTTTCATCCATTGTTGTTGTTGTTGTTGTTGTTGTCATTGTCGTTGTCGTTGTCATTGTTTAATTAATAGGATGATGGAGCAGATAGTGTGCGGAGAGATGATGGAAGAAAGTTGAGGGAGAGGTGACATTGGTTCCAGCTTGTGTTCTTGTTGTTGTTGTTGTTGTTGTTGTTGTTGTTCTTCTTCTTCTTCTTCTTCTTTTCTTAGTTCTTCTTCCTTCTTCTTCTTCTTCTTCTTCCCGTCATCTTCATCTTCATCTTCATCTTCATCTTCATCTTCATCTTCATCTTCATCTTCATCTTCCTGTTCTTCTTTTTCTTCTGCTTCGTCTGTCTCATTCTTCTTCCTATCTTCTTGAATTGCACGGAATCACTCTCCTATGTACTGTTCTTCAGTTTTGCAATATAAGATGACCAGGCTCACAGCAATCTCCAGAAACTCCAATTGACTGTACTTTGCAGCCCAGCCAGGGCCTGAGTTTTGTTTTGCCAGCATGCTTTAGCAGTAGCTTGGACCGTTCAGGGACTTTTTTCAATTATCCAGTTTGGTTGTTTCGTCTACTGCAGCACAACAGACAAGGTTGCATGGACCTCTTCTCTTCCCCCTGTGACACAGGCTGCTGCTCACCGTACTCAAAAGTGCTGTCAAGAAACTTGTCACCCTTCTCATCCTCACTCCTGTAGTCCGATCTGTCATTCTGAGCCGGCGTTTCTTGCTCGACCACCATGCATGCTTTCCCCCTGCTGATCCTCCTCCTGCCTTAGACAAGGGTGACGTCACTTTTACGACTCTTGGGGCTCTTCGGTGCCATCATCCTTGTTGCCGTGAGAGCCTGTTCCAATGTCAAGCACAATCTTTTCCTCCCCTGCTCTCCTCCTCTTCGCCAGCTCTGCATTCCTCCTCTTCTGCATCTGCCTTCCTCTCCACAATCGCTTCCGAAGAAGGATTGACTACTGCCAACGCCGTTTTTTCCCTGCAACTGCCCATCATCCCCCTCTCCTCCTCACTTGCAAAGGTAACCACACAAAGATTAAGGGTTTTTTTCTCCACCTGCGATCCAGCAGAATAATTCATGGAGCTCTCTCCATAAGGCTGACACCACCGACCTCTCTCGTCACACCCTCTTCCTTTACTCACTATACACTCTATTCGCCTTTGGTCGAATGGAACAGACAGCTCATACCGTGCTTTCCATTAGGCTGCCACCATTGTACGGTCTCTCTCTGCCAGGGAATCACTCCACTTTGATTCCACTTTTATAACTCACAAGCATACTCATCTTAAAAGCTCCTTTGAAACAGTACATGATTCGCTTGGGATCATGTGGCAGTCGGGTGCCAGGTGGACAATGCACTGTGGTGCTGAAATGGTGGTGACGTGGCGCACTGCTGTCGCACTGCTGTGGCACTGCTGTGGCACTGCTGTGGCACTGCTGTGGCACTGCTGTGGCACTGCTGTGGCACTGATGTGGCACTGATGTGGCACTGATGTGGCACTGCAAGATGGAGGATGATGTGGCTTGTGAAGGTTACGATGGTGCGGCCACTCCTCGACAACCATGGCCTTCTGCAATACTTCCTGCTTCAATTACTTGTCATTTAGTCATCACCCAAAAACAATTACATACCAAAAAATACGAGGAAATATTCCCAAAACTTGCCCACCTGGGAGTCCAGCCACACTCTCCACCGCGCAACAGATAGGACCGGCATTCATTGACAGATATCGATCGCTATGACTGTAGCCAAGCCTCGCCCCCGACGGCGCAAACGGAAAAACGCTTCCCTGTTCGTAACAAGGATGAAGTGCAAGACAGTGAGGACCCGCTACTTACCTCTTACTTTCATTGAGCCACCACCATGCTACATACAGGCAAGGGCCTGCGCAGCAGAAGCAAAGAAGAAGAGACATAGAAATGGTGCAGTTAGGAGGGATCCTTTGGGGGAGGAAGGACGGTTGAAAGCCCCTTGGGAGGGAGGAAATGTTCAATTACAATGGTTAGGTAGGATTGAAAATGATGAATGGATTCGACGTGGCTGCAAGAGATACCTAACTCGAGCAGACGCTTCGCGTCTGATCTATTGCCAGAGTGGAGCCAAAGGCGCAACGGGAAGCAGAGGCCTCTCTTATTTGACATTTAAGGCCGAAGGGGATGATTCATATATGCGAATTGACTCAACTCATTCCCGGTGAACTTTGGAACTGGGTGTCTAGAGAGTTTGAGAAGGAAATTCATCAACGGATAGGGGCAAGCAGGTGATGCAGTGCACCTACCCCAGTATTGCGAGTCGCAGGGCGCCATGGTGTCCGTTAGCAGGAATGCAGATCCCGTGGAGGAGGAGGGTGACGGCAGGACTAATGAGGATGAGGGGGGGAGTAAGGAGGAGGCAGAGGTTGACATAACGTTTGTGCCTAAATCCTCCAATGGCCGGACCATGGACGTCATTAGGGATTCAACGGATTGATGTGCACGTACTTTGCTGCCATCAAAAGCGCCCTGAAGGTCGGTGAACCTTTTTGGGAGATGAGCTAGCGAGAACATCAGTCCTGTGGCTAATAGAAGAGTGGTGAAGGCCTTGGTGGACAGCAACACTTTACAAAATGATGAAGGCAATCAGAGGACTGCACCTTGGGTTAAAGGTGTTGGACCTGTTTACTCTACTGTAGCCCACGAGAATCGTGGAGAAGGATGTGAAGCACCCCATGCAGCTAGTGCCCGATGCGGTACATTTTCCACGTGGCACCTGCACATCTAGAGGACTTGAAGAAGCAGCTGCAGAAGCTCATGTGGAGGGGACCTGCAGTGTATAGCC